GATTCCAGGGCTTAATTAACAGTTCCCAACTTTTTCCTGGCATTTACTAATTACCGTAATTTTCGCAGAAAGTTGCACGAACGTCGTAGCTATTTACTTTGCTCAGCTGCCAAGTTTGACACAATGTAAAAATTCTACTATATCACTAAACGAGCTAACTTAGTCCTCATTAAAATATAATGAAGTTACCTAGGAGAAAGATCGGACAGGCAAAGGAATAAATAGTTAAATTCATAAATCTCTCATATACCGTATTCCTTTCTTGTGAGTCAGCGTTTCATTCCATTCTCCACATTTTCTGCTGTTGATTTCTATACTCCGTGGAAACGCATTGTGCGCGTCCGTGAAAAGGTGTGAAAAGATCGCGCGAAATTGTATTACGGATGTCCTTAATTCTAAAAGTTCTCCGTGGAAGTCTCCCATGGTTTCTCGGTGTACGAGTCGCTGTCTCAGGATTCTCTAATTTTCTCGACGGTACCCGTGACACGAAGCTAACACGAAAGAAGATCACCGTGTAATCTTTCTGTTGGCCAGGAAGGGGCCGAACATATTACGCAGCGATACTAAAAGTTGCGTCTTCTAAAACAAACGTCTTACTTTTTATGGTTTATTTCCACTACGACTGGGAGGTATTCGCTGAATGGAAACTGCAATAATAAACCGTGCCGCGGATGTTCCATTGCACACTCGGTCTGCAAAGCTACTCTTAGCCGATTTCTAGCTTTCGTCATCTCCTGTTCTATGTCGAAGTAGAACGCGCAATCATTCGCGTATTCAGTGTTCAGTAATAGTCGGTACGTAATATACCTGTGAGTAGCGTTTCGCTTCGTCTTCGCATCTTCCACGTGTAATTAAAAACATATAAAGCACACGCAGTCGCAGTCGATGAATATCTTCTAATTCCTTTTTTTTAAGATTGCCTTAAGAGTTTTCTCGAGTATAACTATTCTGAATTTCAAGCATGAAACATTCCTAAGCTCTGAGGTAACGTAAACACCACTTCAATTATAAATTACTTTTTGTAACGTAGAGACAATTCTCGTTGAAAACAATTAGTAACTGTGGATTTACTTAGATTCGTTTGTCTTAAGGATGGCATATTTTTCTTGCATTTAAACATGCTGGATGGGAAAGTTTTCTTGTTTGATGTAGGTTCTATTCCAATTTCATGGTGAGTTGTGGGCTTCTGAAAACAGAGAGCCCGTTTGTCTTTGAAATGACTGGAGATCAATTTCTATTTGATGGATACTTTCATTAATGAAGTCAGATAGCACGGTGACGGAGGGCAGACTTGTTTTCATTTCTTTTTCTTGGTCATTAATCTTGGCGTACAGACCGGCGGGCGTAATTCTTGCTCCCGGCTTGCACAAATGAAATTTATTTTCCGGGACCAGTGGGTGTTAGCATTTACTCCGAGTCGTAATGCGCTTTATAAACATTTTTCTCAGTTATTGTCTTTACTGGCTTAAGACATTGTCTTTTAAGTCTGTCTACATAATTTTAAACACTGAAAATGTAAATGTTAAGATTGTATAAACTTCAGCCGGGTAATAAATTAAAATAAGGGCAAAATTATATGTACTAGGTTCCGTGAATATTTCATAAAAGACGAGCTGAAAACAAAGGCACAGTCCTGGTAGAAAATTGTATTCCAAGCATGCTTTTGCCTACGCGTCTCCTCTGAACCAGTGTAAATTCATTCGAGGAAATTGCGAAGAGTGTGTATGCTCTGGAGCGTATAATTCGCTTAACGCAAGACGCTTCTATGAGGAACGAAACTCTGCGGCAAACTCCTTTAAATATTACGCGTACGCTTATATATGTACGTGTGTTCGGTCGCCTTGAAAATATGAGGAATCCTTGTTATAAGATAATTGCGAGCATATTGGAATTTGTAATGAACATAGCGCCATGAACATGACGGCACCGTATAATATTATGTTAAATTATTCGGTAAATGGGAAATTAATTTTCAAAGAAGTTAATCAAAGTACGTGTACCGAGGTGACGTAATTAAAAAGAAAGTAAAACAGTACAATAGTGTCTTCTTAATAAAGTTAATCAAGTGCAGAGCGTTTGCATATACCATAATCGTAAATAACTGTTTTTATTTTTCTCTTAAATTGCTGTGGGAATACATAATCTATATGGAAATGTATCGTTTCAATGCCAATGCATCTTGCAGATACTTTTTATGAATTCACCTTGGATTGCAGGCAACTATGCAAATTGTGAAGGGTGTGACTCCACGTGCGGGGTTATTAAAATGTTATGTAATATATCGTCACATGAAGAAATTTATTTAGGATATACAAAATTAAACTGAATAATTGAATTGAGCTATGGAATGTATTCTTAAAAATTGATCTTCAAAGTGTTTCAGTTAGAAACTGAATTGGAAAATTCTTCGATAAAACTATTTTTACCGCAACAAATTTTTCAGCGTGCAATACCGATATTAGATAGTAAAATATTTGCGAACAAAATATTTAAATTCCTTCACGTAGACTTTCGGATTGCTGTTTTACACATCTGTGTACTTACAAGGAATTGAAGGGAGGATACGCGAGACAGATTTCATGTTTGAGAATAATGTTTGTCCTCTGGTTTAGATTACATCGTTTACTCTCTAAATCGGTTTCCTCTAGCGTGTAGAAGAGAGATCAATAAGCAACCGTTTGCCTCTGTTGCTACAAACAGAGAGTTTCGCAAAATATTTTAAAGGAATGCAAAATGCCAAAGGAAATTCTGCGCTTATGAAACGCATGTAAACGTTGCTTTTATGATTTATAAAATAATACGAAAATGTATAAAAATACAAGATTATTCCCGGTGTGAATAATTTATCCCTCGTTGTAGTATTCGGATCGATGTATGATGCGGCGAAGATTGACGCAGACTGAAATTCAGTTAACTATTATCCGTGTCTACTACTGCCGTGCTACTACTTCCGTATACGTTAATGCGAATGTCGATATCTGGTTTAGCGAGAAATCTCGGTCTGCTTAGCAATCACGTAACAGAGCAAACAAATGTTCGATATTAGCAACAAATCCTTAGAAATTGATTCCGCAAACAATAACTTCGCTAATATTAGTTTTAATAAAAATAAGGAAACCCTGTTACGTCTCCTCCCTCGTTTCTATTGTAGGACCTGTGAATGAAAGTAGACAATCGATGCACAGTTTTATTCTTGTTCTGAGGTTTCCCCCAAATTGTTATATGACCGGTAATCGTTATCTGGCAATCGGGACAATCTCGATATCTCTCTCGATGGAGCCGTTTCCCTTGTGCCAGTAAGAGAATGTTCTTGTGGCTCGCGGTTACGCAATCAGCCGTAGTAATTTTACTACGGGGAACGGTTTCGAAAGATTCAGCTTTGGAAATCAGATTACTTTGGATTTTGCGAATCCTTGGACTCTATACCAGACAATTTATGAGGAATGAGACAAAGTAAAAATGAATTTTGTTAGCAGTGATACAAATAAATTGGACTCTTTTTTACTAAGTGAAGTGCTTTGCTGCCGTGAATTTTGGAAGTGAATGAACCTAATTATGAAATATTCAGCTTAATGTGGTACGTATGTATCTTGTCAATGATAAATGAGACCCAGATAGCACGGAAATGGTCAACAATTCAGATACTTGCGGTATCACACGGTCGTCATTAGCTAGTATCGATGGACTATTCCTTCGGCTTTGTATGTACATATACTACACAGTTTATCTTGTTGCGACCCATTACTAACGTTGTGCCGCTGTCAACCTCCCTGGCAATCGTATATCATTCGATTTTGGCTCGCCCATGGCGAATTAGATCTGGCACGGATCGTAAACAGTATGATACAGTAAACAGAAACGCAAACACTTTTTGAATGCGAAAGAATACCACAGAGGAGCGGTAAACAAATATTAAAAATTGACCCAGCTTTGCGCCGTCGTCTCGAATTACTCCCACTTTCTATGTAACCGCGATAAGCTTTCATTCTCTGTGAAAGCGTCCCTATTTGGGGTAAGTAGGACCGAAAGGAGGGAGAGCCGAGTTGGTCGTAAAAAAGTAAACGAATTCACATGGAATTAACGCTGAATTGGGGAAAAGGGTGGCCTCTTAATGGAAAGTGCTTGTACTTAACTTTGAGAATGAGTCATCGGCGTCACCTAAAAATAGGATCGACTTCCGGGTAAGGTCGCTCGTTTGGCTCCTGCGGTTCTCCAATTTTAATACTCAATTATAGAATTTCAAAATCGTTTTATGAATTGACATCTTCTATAGGTCATAATATGTATTGCCATGTCGAACTAATTATCCGATGCTATTTGCGTTCACCGTTTTTGCTGGGGTCGTATCAACAAAGCTTTAGAAAGCGACGCCGCCTGTTTCCGGAAACGAAACCGTATCAGCCCGTCGAAACTAATTTGAACAGTCGCGAATTAACTTCCGTTTGATAATCCGATACTAATTAGAAGATGTTTCCAAGCGAGACGCGGGAGTTCCTCGCATGTGATCGCGAGCCGAAATCCTCCGCGATGTTTCCACGCTGTAATTCTGGGTTAGGAGGCTTACCAAAGTAGGCCGAGCCGTGAAACCGGCGGAAAACTTCACTCGGCAAGTAAGAACCATAGTTGCATTGCACCAACACCACCGTCGCTCCTAGTACTACTTCCCTCCTTACCCTCCCCGTCCACCCCTTGCCTCTTTCAGCTTCTCGCGCTTTACCGTCATCGATCTGTGTGCCCATCATTGAGTCTGCCCACTTTCGTACATAGACACTCTCGCGACGATTTCGCTGAAATGCGACGTTCAAAATTCTCAATCGTTTCCTTTTCTCCCGGGAACTGCGCGCAACTCGTTGTTAAGCCAAGCGACAGAAATCTTTTACTTTCTTGTATTTTCGTCTATGCGATAAATATTCAGTTCGGAAATGGAGATGAAAATGTATGTACATTTTGTGGAGGGTCGAGCCCCTCTTCGTTTCACTGTTACACTTTCGCTGTTTCAGGTTACAGACATCCCGACGTCCAGTAACGAGCTCTAATTGCGCCGGGTTTCACGTCTAAATTAAAGGGTATCCACGGTGTTCGATGTTCCACGAGATTTGGCTGTCGAGCACGACAGTTCGTTGTGTCGTTTTAGCATTAACAATTTCATCCAGTTATACGATTAATCAATATCGACTTTTACTCTGTCCTAACCGAATCGAAGCATTTTCGGAGGTCCGCTCGTGCTACGAGCGACCGACCATAATTCTTTCGGCAGCGTGTGCACGAGTGATAACGAACGTTTTATACAGTCGCCTTAGGCCTACGCGGAAATGAACTGTGTACATAATAATCGTTTTAAAGTGAATAATTAATAACGACGTCGAGTAACGTAAGTGATAAGTTACTAACCTAGATTTTAAATAGTAAATGTGATGCTGTTCGCGGTTTACCGTCGAAAAAAAGAGAGCTTTATTAGTTGCTTCAGGCGACGGTTTTATTCAATCGTTAAATTCGTTTTAAACTGGAAATCGTCGTGCAGTTTTGAATGGAGCAGCCGGGCGTGTCTGCGGATCTTGGTAGACGGGCTCGCACCAGTTCCGATGAAAGTGAGGCGAACTTGGGAAAGTAACGTCATTTACTGTATAGAATTTCGTTCGCGTTTTCAACGAATCGTCGTAGGTTTAAGGATTCTAGGTGTAAGAAGACTTGGCGGAGAGTCGTCCTGAGAAACCAATTGTAAAGTTAATATAATATATCAATAAAGGCATTGATGTAATGCAAACGAGACGCGGACCTCTTAATCTCGTTGAATTTCACCCGCGGAACTACCTTTGCCCTGTACACAAAGAATTGGTTTAACGTTGTTTCAAGTTCCATCTCGCAGATAACGGAGCCGGGGGTGAGTAATAAATTTTAGTATCCGCGTTCCCGAGGCTTGTTCGACAAAAGAGGTGGGATAATAATACTCGAGGCGGTACGTTTATTACGCGCCGCCGTTGCATGAACGCGGTCAACGCAGTGGACTGTTAAGTACGAACGACCACGACGACGACGGTTTCATATCGCCACGGCTTATGAGAAATAACGTACCCGTTTCGAGTTAATATTTCGCGAGCTTCCCCTTTTTTATCGTTCGCCGGCAACGGCCGATTAAAACGCAATCGTTCACGTTTTAATATTTGTTGTAAAACCTGCCTTTTAGGTAAGGAAGCAATAAATTCAGTAGTACGAGTCAATAATTCGAGCTACGCCACTTCAAAACAACGTTCCACTCGTATACTACGGTCCATGCGTTTCATTTTACGTTTCCACTCTGACGCAAAGGATCATCACCTGTAACACGTTAATTTCTATCAGAATTTGTATTATATTTTACAATATTTTCATTACATTATTTAATATTTTTAATGAAACTTTTTTCTATAACATTTAGTATCAGTATTCCACTACTATGATTATCCAGACGTGTCTCTAGTGAATTTAGAAAAGGATTATCACACACGGATTACAGTAACCACGTGAGTTCGTTGCAGGAATTTATATCGCTCGTGATTCGACGAACGTTAATTAATATAATTGAGACGAGAATCCGCTTTTCTCATAATCCTGGGATAAACGATTTCATTGCTCAATGTTCGGGGCGCTTTGCATCATTAGCCGAAAGGTAACATCCAGTGTGAATGGCCAATCGGTGAGCAACCTAACGACACGAATATCCCGATCAGACAAGGAGACTAATGAAATAGAGGAAGGGAGACTAAAGTAGAAATCATAGCAGGAATCAAATCATTTCTGACTGAGGTTAATGACTCAGGGAAAAGAATCGCCCCTTACTTATCCATTTGCTGATAGCATTAAGCTAGGCCTTCGATAATCAAGTTGATAAAACTTGCTCGCGGGCATGAAACGAGATTAGTCTGTAAACGTGACTCGAGAGATTAATTTCCACGAATTATATGCGACCCTCCCTTCCTTTCATTACTGCCTAAAGTTTAATCTTTATTATTTAAATCAATTCTTGTCGTTGACGTGAAAATATAAAACATGTTACCTGTACTGTTTTAAATTTAAAGAGACAATTTACAGAGAAAGGAGTTTTTAATTAAAATATCGAAGTATTAAATTGCATGTATAAGATATTGAGGTCAGGAACAGCATGAAGGTCACAGGGCTTTTATCAGGCCACCTTATCAACGTAGTACCATGTTTAAAAAAATATATATTCATTTTTTCATTGATCCCAATTTATCGTATAGGAATTTGATTATGAACGGTTAATGTTTGGTTTCGGGGCTTTGGCTTATAGTTCGCTACACGAATCGGGCTACTTCGATCGGGTGCCGCGCGACACCCCAAGTTATTGCAGTTACTGAGATTAGCCTTGTACAGTCGCAGCGTGAAAATATAATGTACGATTGAATATGCATTAGACGCTATTGAATATTAATAGACCCTCTCGTCGCGTAGCGCGTGGCACAACAGATTTTCCACGCTCGTTATAAACATTCATGTTAACTATGCATGAGGGTGTCAATTTCTTCAAAAAGCTTTTTATTCAGAGCCCTTATTACGATCCAGTACCCATTTGAATAATCCGCAATGACATTCAATGTTCAATTTCGTTATCACGTAGGAGAAACTCATGAAAAAATTGAT